TGACTAAGTAGGCAGCTTGGTAGAGACAAGTCGACAACTCGATTGGGCCAGTGCAATGTATAACATAACCTATTAAGCAAAATAAACTTAAATAAACTTATTCTTAAAATAAACAGATTCTTCCTCCCATATATATATATATATATATATATGACAAAACAATTGCATAGAAAAAGAGAAAAACATGTATTGATTGTGAAAAAAAAAAAAATATTAATAATCGATTAGTTCAACGCCCATCCGTCCAACCGAATTTTAAATAATTCAAAGTTGTCTTTTTTGTAATGCATGTAATTATGTTATTAAACCATAAGTGCTTTTTTTTTTCCCCCACACCATTAAACCACAACTGATTAAATATCGGGTTCTGAGTCAAATTAGATTTAATTCATCATCTTTTTTATTTTATTTTTTTATTATTATTGTACCAGTTAATAATAATAATAATAATAATAATAATAATAATAACTCGATCAATGGAAACCTATGTGTATCCATATTGTACGATTCCTATATAAATTTTAATTTTTGAAATTCCGAATTTTTTTATCAACAAAATAAAGAATTTTATTGTGGGAGTATAACTAGTATTCCAATCCATTGTACGATCATCATAAAATGAAATACCGTTGAAATTAAGAGTTTAATTTTACTTATCTATTAACACAAATTATTTTAACGATACTATATATTTAATTATGATTTATTACAATACGAAAATTTTACCTTTCAATTAATTGCGATTATAGTGAAATTAATGTAAACAATAATGATAATGAAGAAATATATCACACTATATATTATTATAGTTGAATATATAGACTTGTTTAATCAAGTATGATTGATGATTTTATATATTTTAACTTCGTTTACACGTTATCGTAATTTTCAGAATAAAAAAAATATAAACTTTCCTTTGACCATCCAGTGGAGGCCGGTCAATTGTATGCATGTATGTACACGACATGTATCCAATAATTTCTAAGAAAGACCAAAGTCAAAACTTCCAGTAAATAAAAAATTATATTGGTTATGATCATGCTATCTAATTAACTAGAATAATTAAAACACACAGTAGTAAGCTTTTAGTCAGCTAGATTCTTATCTTCGTCATGGTAATATTTATATTAATAAAAAAAATACTTGAATAAGCTTTTAGTGACTTGAATATGAAGAGATTTTTGACCAAGAATCTCAGCATTTTTTTTTATCATTTAAATATGCTCTCCCTATATTATTAGTCTTACATATGGTTCTAGATGGTATGTCTTTCCAATTTTTAATATAAAATATATAAAGTTAGTAAATTAAGAAATCGAGAAAAGTTAATTTAATATTATTTTATTTAAATCAAATTTTAACCATATCTTTTTATTAAAATAATTGATATACACCAAAGAGGTGTTTGGTAGAAGAATTTTTTTTTTCTTTCTTGAGAATTATAATTACTAAGAATAAGAAATGATTTAATCTATTTTGATTGATTATAAATAATTTTTTGAATGTTTATGAATGTTACTTGAGAATAAAAAATTTTATTGTATTAATTAAAAAATTTAAGGTAACATAATATTTTTATCATAGTAAAACAGTTCTTTTAACTTAGGAATGTTAGATTCATGCCTACACTATACAACCAATTTGGTGAAAAACTTGTATAAATTACATTCTCAAAAAACCTTGTTTCCCAAAAATATTATCTTTTAAATAATAAATTAAACTTAAAAAATTAACATTGTGAACTTCAAATTTCTAAAATAATAAAAATATTTCACTTATCAAATAATACTCCCTAACAATATAAAGGGATTTTCCACTATCGTTCGACTACAAACACATACATATCATTAGTTTATTATCTTATCTTAAAAGTCACATCATTAATAATTCATACTCAAAATGCATAAGACTAATTTTTTTTATTAAGTGTTTTAAGATTACTTTTTTGACATCTCACCTAATTAATATGTTTGTGTTAAAGAAATATATGTTAGGTACGTTGTTTTTTTTATAAATATTATTACTACAAAATATCCACCATCAAACTCAGTACTTAATCTACCTGGAAAAAAAAATCAAGTAATCATTTTTATAAGATCTCTCATTCAAACTATATTTTTTATGATTTATCAACAAGACCCAAAATCAAAACTTTAATTAAAAAGATTAAATCTAGTTTCACTTTAACCAACAACTTAGTATTCATTTAGACTATGAGTATGTTATCTAAAGAAAGAAGTATGAAAACACACATATATGGATATTATATATGAAGTAATTGACTTACAGCTTCTTGAAGGTCATTGGTATTGTTGGTGGATTTTGCATTGGGTGGAAGACGAAACTCATGCATCATCCAGTCAGTTTTGGTGCCTTTGCCAGCACTTCCACGATAGTAGACCAATGACTTCTTGAGACCAATGCATTCATGGGGTTCTTTCACACAATATATGTTCTTATCAATCCCTGTGGCTTTCCAGAACCCTGACCTAGTTACCCTGTTAGGCCTCACGCTGTTCCTGTACTTTCTCCCTCTTATGCAGAAAAAATACCACTCTTTGTCCCCCACAGAATTCACTTCTTCATCCATTAACATTAACATGAAAAAATACCAAACATCATCTCAGTATACTCTTTCCTTTCTATTATTCAAATAATGATTGGGATTAATTGGGTCCAAGGTTAGGAACATGCTTAGAAAAATTATATCTCAAATAATAAAAATTGCATTTTTTAAGTTTTCCAGATGTTCTTGCAAGAAAAAGTCAAGAAAATAATTCCTAAAAAAAAAACAAAATTTGAACCAATCAACATTTCATGAACTTTCATTCAACAACTTCAGTTTAATTATCTTCATCAAATAACACTCAAGTCGTTAAATTATACGACCGATTATCATATAAACAAACCCTTCATAAAAATTTAACTGCATAAGATAGCTAAAAACCTATATATATTCTTTCCAATTAGTATGTTTTATACAAGTTAGTAGTATTTTTGAGAGTTTTTACTGAAAAATGTTTTTATGTATTCGGAAAAGAAATTTTTTAAATTTTTTTTTTAATCTTGTATCGAAACAAACTATGTATATATATACAAATACTTAAGCACTTACAAGTGAAATTTAAGTGGAAGCAGATCTTACTTGGAAGATCCCATGGATCATATTTGTAGATATCAACCTGTTTGATGAGTTCAATTCGAAGAGGCTTCTTTTCCACCTTCCTCAGCAAATAAAACCCAACAAGCTCTTCATCTGTGGGGTGGAATCTAAAGCCAGGAAGCACAATTTCTTCATCTTTCTTGGTATCATCGGATGTAGATACCTTAGCATTCATATTTTCTTTTTCTTCTTATTTCTATTATTCGCAATATTTGTTTCCAACCTCGCCAAAGTACTTCTTGATGGGAAGATTCTAATGATGTGAAAATAATTCCCCCCTTCCCCACATATTTATATACATTTTCGAGATTTTTTTTTTTTCGTTTCTTTGTGTGTGTTGAATTTTGGGAAGTGGAGTCAAGTCAAAAATTTCGATTATGAGATGTTTATTTCATTATTTGTATCCGTAAAGAGAAAGAAGAAGGTCCCAATGCTGACAAGTTTAGGAACCACACTAAGACATTTCGAGATTTCTAGGGTGGGGGTGTGGGGTGATGCATATGCATGGGGTGGTCCTAACTACATATGTAACCATCAAGGGTTAATTAACCATTCATGGTGAAAAAGCCCATGACATGGGAACTTTTAAAACCTTGTGCGTTTTCATTGCCACAGCAATGTGAAAGTCAAGCAGAGGGGGGCACCATTTTGACTAATGGACATATGAATGGAATAAATACGTGTAAACAACACTCTCAATTGAGGGAAAAGTCAAAGAATATTTCAAAGACATCAATACTGTGGTGGAAAAGTTTCCTAGGCTTTTATCGCAAAAAATAAAATAATTTTTTTGAAGGCTTACTTTAATAATAATAAAAAAAGATTCATGCATTGTGATCGACCAGACTGCCTCTCTCATAAAGATGATGTTGTCATAATAAATTGTATAACCAATATTTTACTTGTGGTATTCATTATTCAATTTTGAGTAATGTTGTAGATTTTTTTTTTCCCATTTTGGGTCTTTAGCATCGCAGTTATGTGAGAATTCAATAATTATATTTTATCTGCTGAGGAGTTTAGTCGTAGTCTATGACACTTCTTTTATCAACAAACTTTTTCCGATTAGTTAAAGCATATTGAAAATTAGAAAAGTAGAAGTGAAATTTATTAAATAAAATATAAGACTCGTAATTATTATTATTATTATTATTTATAATTTTCAATCAATAAAATATCATTTTCAAAAAGTGTGTCAGTTATTATTAACATTTTTCATTTAATTTTGTATACATGGTTCTTTGAGTGTTTGAGTTATCCATTATTTCAATTTATAGCAATAATTTCCAGGAAAATCGTTTATCTTTTTTTTTTTAGAAAGGGCTGAGCATATTTGGCTTAGAGGAGCAAGAAAATATGGAATAAAAAAGGGCTCAACATATAAGAAAGGGCTCAACACTTGAAACTTTCTTAATCATGAAGAATTCAAAAATTCGCTTAATCAAATAAAAATGGCTAAGTAAATTGTCCACTTTTAAGACATCCTATTCTAATTTTTTGGACATATAAAAGGGAGTAAAGAAAGAAATAAGGCATCATCTAACTAGAGATAAAGAAAGAATAGAGGATTGAAGAAAAAAGTGATAAAGCTTCAAGACTATGGGATAGAAGATCTTGAGCTCATCTTTTCTTTCCATGTTGTCATTGTAAATAGAAGTTGCTCTCACCACTAAGAGTAGCTAAATTTCTTACTTGTTGGAGTTGAATGTAATCTATCAAACTTTTTTATATTCCTTTTGATTTATATATATGATATATTTTTATTCAATGTTAGTGATTTGATTTTGTTTTTAATGCTTGGGGTGAATTGATCATTATTCATCTTTTGATTTGAGATTTAAACTTTGATTGAAAAATATTTTCTAAATTTGATTTGAATCAAATCACCTAATGATTCTAAATGCTGGGAATAAATTTATAGTTGTTAGTTGATTAATTTCTTGAGCTTAATGCAAGAACTCTAATTTGGTAAACTAAGGAATTGGTTATTAAATTAGGATCCTTACAATTTCCAAAGGCAATGAATTGATTTAGAATAACTTTAACGATTCAATAACACTGAATGATATGAATCTGTTATGCATTGGGAGTTACCACACATATACACATGTCTCCACATTGGTAAGATATTGTTCGCTTTGGGCTCAAGCCCTCACGATTTTACTTTTGGACATTACCTAAAAGGTCTCTCTACCAATGGAGACAACTGTGTGTAAATAAACCCATGTCCATCCTCTTATTTGAATGATGTGGGACTTTGCTTGCATTCCCAATAATCCTCCCCTTAAACAAAGGACCACGGTTTACCCCCTCTCCTACAACGAAAACTACGAGTATTATTCGATAGTGACCCATAGAGCTCACTCACGCTTTGAGTGCTTGCACCGCCGCTCCATCATGACCTCCCTCATGACCCACGCCTCCTAACCCTCCACAGTTTAAGAAGACTTTCGACAAAAGGGATCCCAAACTTGAATCCACCTGCCAGCCATTATACTCGTCAAGTCAATCACCTGATCAGACCATTGACTCTGATACCACTCTGATAAGGGAAACAAAAACACAATAATCAAGAGTACCAAAGTATGCAGTGAAAATAATTCCCCCAACTTGCAAAAACCAACGAGGAGCAACAAAATAAATAAATGGTAGAAAATAATTACAAAGAGACAAATATTTTTAACGTGAGAAAACCCTCTCAATGTGAGAAGTAAAAATCCACGAGCACAAGCCAGTCAATCAAACTCCACTATGATCAAATAAGGGTACAAGAGAGTCTAATCAAATGCATAAATAAATACTTACAACCAACCAATATATTAACGCAACAAGGCCTTCCAACTGAAGAATAAAGAAGAAGAAACTTCAAATTAGAGCAACGGTATAAAATTAATTTCTCCAACCACAAACCTCCAATCCACAATCCCAATCGGTCAAAATGAAGATCACCGTATTAAGAACCTGCTACCAAATTTCCAGCCCGATCCAACGGTAAACGAAGTGGGGATCGCAATTTACTAAAACTGCTCTATGTATATAGAAAAAATTTTCTACTCTCTTTCTCTCTTCTTTCTCTCCTTGACGGATGTGTAATTTTCTCTCTCTCTTATTCCTTAAGAGACACCTCTCCACTTGGTTTTTAAGTGAGACAAAAATTTGGGCTTCTTAATTTTTGGGCCTTTTCTCCACATAGGAAGGGAATCCAATACCTAACAAATCTCCTCCTCACAACTATGTGGAGATAATCGCCAAACCGCGATCTCATAAAAAATTTCATGATAAATATTTGCAGAAAATATTGTAAAGAAATTTATTTTGTTTCTTACTGATTTTCTTGCAAAAATAAATTCGCAAGTAATGTTTACTAAATGGTAGAAAAATTTTACAGGTAACTTTTCCTGCGAATTTTCTTGCCAATTTTAATCCATAGAAAAAATAAAAAATATATTTAAATTTATAAGTTTAATATTTTAAAAAAATTTCAAGTCCCACATCTGCAAATGAAACAATTAAAGAGTATATAAGTTGGGACAACACTTACCTTACAAGTTGATTTGTATGGTTAAGTGTTAGACTTATAATCTACAATCTTATAATTTAAAAGGCTATGTATCATATGTTGTAGGCATAGAAACAAATCCTTTGAATGAATTCATTGTGAGTATTTAAAAGTTGAAGAATTATTGATAGAATTTATAGTAATTTCTTTAATTTTTTTTTAATTAATTATATATATATATATATATATTATCTTGTGTATATCTAGGAATTGTTTATGTATTTGCCTTAAGTAATATTTTGCTTTTCCACTGCTAATAGTTCATTCGTTAGTATAATAAACATGTCAAATTGTTACACAATTGTTGAAATAATTGGTAATTTTGATATATATACTTATATTTAAAATTTATAATATTTAATATTAATTTTTTAATCAATAATTATTATTATACTTAATCTTCTAAAATGAAATCATCTTATGTGGGAGAAGTCAAATCTTATTATTAATAAAAACAAATATGGTGACAACATAAACTTTATAAATCAACATGACGTGGTTGACAGAAAACTTAATTTCTAATTTCTAAAGCACATTGATTAAAGGTTCGATCTCAGTATATACTTGCAAAAACATGTTTGTAAATCAGAAGAATTTAGTTTCTTAAAATTACCTTCAATATTTAAAAAAAAAAAAAATTAACCTTTTGACTTCCAACTGCAAGATATACGTGTTCATTAAAAGAGAACATAAAATTTATTATAAGGGTAGGTTTCATATGTAAGAAACTAAATTTTAATAGAAAAGGACAATGGTGATCAGAAAAGTAGAGTAGCAATTAGGTACAAGTTTCCTTGGAAAAAGCATGTGATTAGAGTGGGCGGCAGTTTATTTAAGTCAAGTTTACATAATTGTCTATCCCATTTTGAAATAGATTTAGATAGAACTACTATATTAAGAAGACAACTAAAACAAGTGATACATGTAATTAATAATGTAAAACAAGTGGTACATGTACTAAATTAATAATGTAAAAAAAAAAAAAGGTTTAAAAATGTGAACATGAATGAAAGTATGTTTATAATGATCTTACAGAAAATATTGATACTCTCAAAATAAGTAAATTTGCAGAGTAATATATGAATCTTTTAAATTTCAAGTTAATTATAATCCGAAATATTTTAATTACAATTGGTGAATATATTTCTACTTTTAAACTTTTAATTAATCACTTCTTAAAAGAATTAAATTAAAAGAAAAAACATTTCCAACGCAACGAAAAATAGTTAGGTGAGACATAAATGATCCCACACTTTTCTTTAATTTGTGCGTTTTTTTGGATGTTGGAGAGGTTGAAGTTTATGACTTTGTATTTTGTAGGAAAAAAAAATTATATATATGAATTTGTCAAAATTTCATTAGTACGAATATGGAAATAGAAGTATTAATCCTATTTTGAAAAAGAAAATTTTTGCACCAAAAACAGAAAATGAACTTGCCAAGGATCGATTGATAAATGCAAAATCGTGTCCATGAACCACTTCCATTTTGAATACTCCTATACTTTTTTTTTTTTGGTAGAATACTCCTATACTTTAGAAGTGGATGAATTATATAATAATTTTCGCCTATTTATTATTTATTCAAAGAACTCCAATATTCGCTTTTTTGTACGAACTAAGTCTACTTATCTGACATGATATATATTTCTATATAGGTTGTTGGTAGTCTTCTTAAACAATTTTCTATGACTTATTAAAAAGAAAAGGACTACTTAAAAGCACGTTTATCTTTTAAAAAATAATAAAGGTGTATCTATTATTGATTTTTAAAGTGTAGCATTTTCTTAAACCATTAAAACTTAAGGATAGATATATCCTTATTAGTTG